AGAAATTCCCCAACGACAGAGACTTACTGTCGCGGGTGTCAATCATCGAAGAATCACACCCCAAGATGATCCGGATGGCTCATATTGCAATTATCGGATCCCACAAAGTTAATGGTGTCGCCGAACTCCACTCCGACTTGTTACAGACAACGCTCTTCAAAGACTTTGTCCAGATTTATGGACCTGATAAGTTCACCAATGTCACCAACGGGATCACTCCGCGCCGCTGGCTGCACCAGGCCAACCCGCGGTTATCGGACCTAATCGCCACAAAGCTTGGTGGATACCATTTCCTGACAGACTTAGCGCTTTTAGATAGGCTCGAAGCCTTCGTCGATGACAAAAACTTTCGAACAGAGTGGGCAGAAATCAAGACCGCGAACAAAATCCGTCTTGCTAAGCATATCAAAGACGCTACCGGCTATAGTGTCAACCCCAACGCCTTGTTTGACATCCAGGTAAAGCGTATCCATGAATATAAGCGCCAGCAACTCAATATCTTCGGTGTGATTCATCGCTATCTGACTATTAAGTCCATGTCTCCGGAGGAAAGAAAGAAAGTCTTGCCGCGAGTATCCATTATTGGTGGCAAGGCAGCCCCGGGGTACTGGATGGCCAAAACTGTCATCCATCTTGTCAACAATGTCGCATCAGTCGTAAACAATGACCCGGAAATCGGCGATCTTTTGAAGGTAATATTTATTCAGGACTATAACGTTAGCAAGGCAGAAATAATTTGTCCTGCTTCGGACATAAGCGAGCATATCTCAACCGCTGGTACTGAAGGTAGTGGTACCAGTAACATGAAGTTTGTACTTAATGGTGGCCTTATCATTGGAACCTGTGATGGAGCCAACGTATGTTTGACCCCGGCGTCCATCTCTCTACAGCTGACCCTTGTGATTGACTTATTGTGACTCTTGTTTAGATCGAAATCACTCGCGAGATCGGCGAACAAAACATTTTCCTCTTTGGAAATCTAGCTGAAGATGTCGAGGAACTACGTCACCGCCACTACTACGGTGACTTCCAACTCGACCCTCAGCTTGCCAAGGTGTTCGATGCCATCCGAAGTGGCACATTCGGCGATGCTGGCGACTTCTCTGCACTTATTGCATCCATTGAGGAGCACGGTGACTACTATCTTGTATCCGACGATTTTAACTCGTACATAACCACTCAGGGAATGGTCGACGAGGCATTCCGGAACCAAGATGAGTGGATAGCCAAGTCTATTACCAGTGTTGCACGCATGGGCTTCTTCTCCACGGACCGGGTCATCAACGAATATGCGGATGGAATCTGGAATGTAGAGCCTCTTACTGTGAAAGACTGATCGAGGGCGTACGTTCAATCCAGACATAACTGCAATTTTTTTTCTTTACTTTCCCCCATTCTTCCAGTATATCTCGGTTTTGAGGTTCAAGTCTCTAATGCACCTAAACCCCTGCCTGTGACTTGCGTCAGTTCTAATTATAATTATTGAGCAATCATAAGTGTTCAAGATGGGAATGACGACCAAACAGTTTCTGCATACAAATTGTTACCGTTATGTGACTGTTAGCTGCATACGTGCATTAGCACAGTATGCTTCTATTTGATTCTTACTCTCTTTGCCACTAAGCTTCTTCTTCACTGGTGCCTATCAGTACTCCGTCAGAGCAACACGCATGTATGTAGAGACAACGAGGAGAGAAATGCCCACTGTGATGACGACTTTACTAGAATGATTGGATGACTGCACCTATAGTTCTCTTCTAATCTCCTCTCCTCATTTGGTCCACTAGATCGTGAACAAACTAGCGCGAACTGCAAGTATCTATGAAACAAATCACACCATAGACAACGATGCCAATCGTCACTAAACGTACACCTGTACATTCGCTTAATTGCTCAACACAGAAAAAAACATGCTTCATGTATCATGTCTCGGGTGAAGGGTATGAAATGCGTGATTCGGAAAGATCCAAGAACAAGGTCCAACAGTATATGGATGAGATGGAAGATTTGCTTAGGAGGCACTTAGTTCAGCCATGCGCCGTTGCAGTTCTGGAACGGCTCGGAGGTGAAGATCCAGCTCTTCTTTCTCACTATAAGCACCGTGTTAGTCTCGGTGTTATACAGCTATTGGGAGCATCGGTAATAGTCAAGGATAGGTGCAGCTTACTCTTCTAGTTTCAGTCGCCGTTCCCAGTCTAGCCCTGTGAAGATGTAGCCTCCTTGGCCGTCGAACTGCAGGATTTTCTTGTGATATTTCCAGAGACTGCGGCGGTGGGATACGGTCATCAGGGTTGTGCCTAACCGCTTGGCAGTCTCGTACATGACCCGCTCGATCTCCATAGTAACCGATGAAGTACATTCATCGAGAATGGCGAATTTGGGTCGATGGTAGAACAGTCTTGCCATGGCGATGCGCTGTTGGAGTCCACCGGAGAGTACGTCACGCCATTCTTCCTCTGCGTCCCAGCCGTTGGGGCGGTCAACGACTGATGCGATTTCGACGATGGAGAGGATATCATAAAGATCATCGTCCGTAATGCCCTTGGCACGCATTTCGCGAAGACCATCTGGGTAGATGACTTGCTGGCGAAGGGTTCCGCGAGACAAGTAGGGTCGTTGCGGAATATAAAAGATCTCATCGAATCGAGGTTTCTTTACCTTACCCCCGTAGACAGGCCATAGACCACCTAGGATCCGAAACAGAGATGACTTGCCGCATCCGTTCGGGCCGACAATTAATAGATGATCACCGGGGTGCACTGTAAATGACAGCTTCCGCACTAAAACATCCCCGTTAGGCGAGACGATCGGGACATCGGTGAATTCAATCGAGTCGCTCTCCTCGACCTCTCCCCGACCAGACAAAACAGCTGCATTCTCCTCGGTTGATGCAGAAGACACCAGCTTCTTCTCAAAGCGCCCAGCTAAGAGGTCGTCCATGACCTCCAGCAACGATGAGACACGGGCTGTGTAGCCGGCTAATTCAGAGATCTCTTTGTATGAGAACATCAAGCGACCAAAGGCATCGGAAGAGGAAAGCAACATCCTCCTATTCGTGACAAAACCTAGTTAATGTGGTGTTAGCTCAGTATCACATATCAGCCTGAGTCCCTACATACTCTCTGTACGGTCACCCATGGTCTGAGTGATTTGACCGGGAATTCTGAAGAAAACTGGGATACTGCACAGGATTAATCCCAGAGCTCCCCAGAAATACTTGATGACAAAGTCCTCCATAAAGCCGTGGTATAAGCGTCTCCGCAAAATGCGATTCACGTGCTTGATTAATGTGAAATAGCCTTTGTCTAGAGTATCCTTCTCCGCCTCGTGGCCGTGATATAGGGCAATCTCTTCACTATAGTCGATCAACCTGGAGTGGAGGAAACGGAATTCTCCTTCTAAGCGGGCTTCGTCGGCAACGTATTTTCCGAATGGCGGTGTTAGCGCACGCATGACGTTAGCTGACAATTGAACCAACAGGCTCATAATAAAGAGGCCTTCGCCGCCCACACTCTTCGAGAGGGAATAATTATAGATCGCCATGTCCAGGATTGGTTTGGCTAGGTTGGAATATAGCTCAGCTAGACTGTCGGAAAACCGAGACACATCTACCGTGATAAGTTGATCGGGGTTTTTAACTCGGTCATCCAGCGCAGAGATCGCGTAGAATGTCATGTTGCTCAAGTACTTGTCATGGATGTAATCTGTTAAGCGCTTCCTGTAACTGAGGGCAAGTTTACATTGGTGATAAGAAAGCTAGAAAGGTTAAATGATGTTAGCTGGTGCAGTTCACTGGCCTGAGAGCTGACCAGAACCAGCGCACGACATACCATGGAATTCGTGAAAGTTGCTGGTATGGCAACAATCATCCACCACACAAGACCCAGTAGGAAGTCCTTCCCCTTCCCTCTCACTAAATTACTGACCAGTCTCCCATCTAGTTCTGCGACATATAAACTGAGTAATGTTCGAAGTACTAGGAAGACACTGTGGCCAGCCAGCAACCGTAGCTCTTTGCTCCGCCAGCTGGGGACCACAATTTTCAGTAACCGAAGTAGATTTCGAAAGAATTCGCGGTTGACCCCAACTTTCTTCCGCGGTCGGTCTCCGCCATCCCCGATACTGCTGGTCCCTGGACGTCGTCGCAGCTCCACTTGTTGCTGGGAAGCGGCTTTCTGTTCGGAGATGGCATTATGGATGCGTTTTGCTAACGCCGCAAAGAGGGCCAAATACACTGTGCGAGAAATCCCAGTGCGGTGTCGCAGGTACAAGGCAGATAGACTCGAGAGGATTTGCCGAACCGATCGTTCGGGAGGAAGCAGTTTCGACTGAGCGGCCATCGCGACGGGAGGAAGAAGCCGCGCGCAAGACAGGCAGAATTAAATTTCAGCCAGAGTCAACTTGGGATAACATGGCCATGAAGCGGGATGACTTAGTTGCCGGGAGAAGAATTATGGATAGGGCAAAGAAGGTGGAGGAGAGAGAGAGAGAGAGGGATGATGTGAAGAGAGCAAGACGAGCCCCGTTGGGGGGGATGACATGTGAACGGATCATCCCCCGACTTTCTGGGGAAGCCGAGGAATCTCTGGTTCCGTACGGTACGTACGGTATGGAAATCAGGGGAGATCACTCCGTTCGGGTATGAGTACACTTGCATGTCACTCAGGTAACGATCGCAATTGTTGGTGTAAAACTACCGTTTAATTTAGTTAAATATAATGTGATGTGTAAAGGGTAAAATAAACTCCATTATATAGTCAATAAGATAAGAGAAAAGAGCAAAAAGGAAAAGGTATGACACGAGCGGGACTCGACCACACGTCTCGTGACTCGCGACACTCGAGCTGTGCTTGGACAAGCAGCACCTTTAACCGTTTGTTCTAAAGTATGGCTAGAATCTTTGTTTACAACTTCTACCACCACCACCACAATGGCTTTTGCTCTGCTACCCTCCCCCACTCTCGTGATGATCTAGAATCTCTGACATATCTACGCCAAAGCTATGCTAATTTTGTGCTGGGAAACTCTCCATCGGAATGAATCCAGCCCCAGGCCTCTCGAAGCTGTACCTGTGCCTTGGTAGTTGATAAGGCGTGGGTCTCTTCGGTCGTGGTCAAGATCCCAAGTAGCGCTTCTTGCTCTAAACGATCCGTTATCCGATCTCCACCTGGTCTCAAGCATTAGTATAGAACTATGCATACAGTTCTCTCACTAAACAGGTGGCTTACACATCGAAACTCCCATGCATGCCGTGATAAGGGCAGGCGCTGTTTTATTCGACCGAGCAATGCCACAGAGTATAAACATGCTTTCTTTGATTTCGGCCTGAGAGTATGAGTGAACGTCGCAAATTATTCTTGGATTGGTACATTCCATACCTCTCTTCGTCCGACTGCTGCTCGCCTACCCGGCCCTAGACGGGGGACTCTGGGGTCGAATGCAGTAAGTAGAATCCTCGCAAGGTGCCAGTGTTGAATGGCAGTCACTATGAATATACGCCGTGTTAGCCCCTGACTGCTCCCAAGCGCAAAAGCTGTTGGCTTATACCGATGCAATCATCCAAGAACCACAATTCTGGAAACACCTCGTCCTTCGACCTATCTGGCTGTCGAAGATAAATCGGATTGAATGTCGGTGGTGCCATTCGATTCCACCCTTGATTATAATCCCAGAGCTGTTCATATTCCTTCATCGTATGGCTCCTCTCGTCGTAACAGTACATCAGCGTGTGAGCACAGTGCAGAATGACTCGATTGGCCCATGTGGGGTCATCTGCTTGGTCGAGTAACCTATAGGTCGAGTGATCACAGCAACTGAGGTCAAATTGGAAGATACGTTGTTTGATGAACGAGGTGTGGAATTCCTGGCGTATACCTACCCAGAATGCAGCCAGCCGGAGGCCACCGTCCCTCACTGCGACTGCGCCCTGAGCGTCCAGAAATACTTGCACTCCTCGCAAGTAAGTCTCATCGTCGACCCCTACAAGGGGTACTGAAGCCCACTAAGTCAGCCACCACTGCCGTCACAAAACGTGTCATTAGTAATGAAACATACAATCGACCTCTTCATAGAAGCGCAGAATTACCGCTGCCGCCAAGAGGTTCTCATCTGCCACTTCGGCGGGATTCCCAGACAAACTCATGAGGTGTGATATGCACAAACTTTGGTACTCTAACGCAGCCTCGTCCCCAAGAAAGGGTAATTTCTTCCCCAAACACAATACCTCATTGGTTCGTAGATACTGACTTCGGCTGAGGTGTCTTGCGGAAGCGGAAAAGATTGCATATAGGAGCGCTGGGCAATTCGCTGCCCGTTGAGGAACAACCTTAGCAAAGTGCTTAGAGGGATCACATGTATCGAACTAGGAGAGATCGTCAGACTCATTTTGGGGAACAGCGACTGGTTCCTCAGCCCTGTAAGCACCCACCCATTGTGCAAGCTCGTCTACGAAATAACGCATTAGACATGCTTCCTGAACGTCTTTCTGTGACCATAGGGACTGAGGTAGATCCTGTGATTCCTGTCCCCGGACTGTCCTCAGGTTCTCTTGTGTAGATCTTGGCTTTGGTAAGCGTTGTTGGGCCATCAGGGTTGGTGTGAGATGACTTGATTTCCTCCGCAAGAACAGTCGAATTGACATTCTAATTTGTTGGAACCCCCCACAACCCCGCATTTTCTGACGGGTGCCGATCTTAGCGTGTGAGGAATCTCTGATTGAACAAGTTTCTAATCGATGGCTGTCGGAAAGATGCACCAACAGCCTGGGCTTCTATCTGGACTTCAATCTTCTGATGGTGGGAGTTAAGGATCGTTGATTATACAACATTCGGGATCGCCTTCCGGCGGTCGGCCTACGGCTTGCTATGGTTATATATATAAGGCTCATTGACTCGGGCCCACGATACCAGTAATTTAATCTCCTCGCACAATAGTAGTAGGCTTGCTCTTCGACGTTCCCCTATCGCGATGCGGTACCTTGCCCTAACTCGCGCGGTTGGCCTCAACCGCCTCAAAAGTTGCTTTGTTAATTCAACTGTGTGAGATATATGACGATCTTATATCCTCCTAAATTCGAAAATGAAAAATCCTCCACGAGATTCTGCTGGAAGCTGGCCTTCTCGTATACATAGCTGAGCTACTTAATTACATCAATAGACTGTTACTGCGAAAATATTTCATGTAGCCTATTTACCCCAAGATCTAAGATATAGTCTAGGTTTTAGGGCATCATGTATGCCATTTTTATTCAACGACAGGCTTGAAGCAGAGCTATATGATTTATAGATCGTCTTCATCAACAAAATTTGAGTCGTCAAAATAATCCGGAGGCCAGACCTTTTGCCCATCAGCTTGGTAAACCGGACCCTCCCTGCTGTAGCCATTATACCATAATGGAACCTTCGCATAATATTTCCCATGTTGCACGGCATCATAGTTATCCCCAAGAACAGCCTTTTCTAGAACGGGTTCATAATGCTTTGCTTGTCGAGGAGAGATATAGACAAACAGCCTCTTGATCCTGCTCGTATGAATCAAGGGTTGGACTATTAAGTGACATGCTTGAATCCACTCATCAACTGACTTATTAGTTATAAAATTTTTGGCTGAATCAATCTGAAGTGATATTGTAAGCTTCGAGAGATCAAGGTTTTGGGCCATTATATCAAGGCCTTTCTTCAAGTCTGCTATGGCTTGGTGGTTGAAGACAGACTGGGGCCAAAAGTCAAGGAAGCCTATAGTGATAGAGCGGAGGTGTGGGCGCGCATAGGACGGAAGTCGGTTAAGGAACTGCGTGGTTATGGTCGGGATTGAAGGTGATTTTTCTAGGGACCATATAACGCACTTGCGGTGGATAGTAGCAATGAAAAAAGTGTTTCTTGAGTAAAATATTGAAGTCGCAATCCGATACATCCTTTTACTGACCAGGAAAAGGGAAAGTGGCAATCTCCAACAGGTACACCCAGTTGCGTAGGCTGCAAGGTAAAAAGAGCAGCAGCAGCCCCAAAGGGAATCTGTGCATGTCTTGCAGCAGTCAAAGGGGGCTAAGCCCCGAATAGGACACCACTCTAGTTGAAATGGAGCCACCAGTTCGGTAAAGGACAGTATATACTCCAAGACTTCATCGGGCAGGTGTGGTGTGGTAGGGTGGCCGGCATCCTGGGGTGTTTTGCAAGTTAACTGAAGGCATATGGATCGGGCTAGAGATGAAATCGACCAGTCTGGGCTCTGGCCGAGACGGATTGAACAGCCACGAAGCAAGGGGAGACATCCTAAAGATTCAACAATGCCCCTCGCAGTTTGAAGGTCCCTAGTATCGCAAATAAAACTTAGATGAAGTGACAGAGGTTGGATATTGTCTGCCAGGATTTGAAGGATACCCTGCCATTCCTGCAGGACTGCCCGGTCTTGTCGAGCCACACTACCTAGTGGTTTATCATGGAGACCATGACTCCGACAAAGGGGATTGCATGCGAACGTGAGTGGGATGGCAGTCCGTCCATATTGAAAGATGCAGGAGCAGTTGTTCAGGATAATAGTAAGGGATCGTAATGAGTGGATTGCATGTCTATTGAGCCTCCGCAATGGGCGTAAGCCCCAGGATCCGCTCCGACTGATCGTGAACTTGTTTTCCGAATACAAAATGGATGATACCTCATCTGATATGGTCCGCGATACATAGAGCAACGGAATAGGTAGTGGTGGGCAGGAGCATCTAGTAACATAATCGTCACCTGCTCCGAGTATGTACCTGCCATCGAACCGTCGCACTTTATAGAAGCATCCATTCTCTTCATATCCTATGTGTTGGCATTTCGGACCATCAAGCTCCGATCCGTTGAACTTAACAGGACAGAAACGAACCAACCCCGATAGAATATAGATATAGCGGCGGAGTGGATATGGAAGATCTAAAAACGATGTCCCTGATGAAGTGGGAGAAGTGTCTGGTATCGATGCGTAGGAGAAGTATGCGTCGATACGACGTTGCGGCATACTATGTATTTAAGCTCACAGGAACATGGATATGACCTTAATAGCCAGGAATTCGGCTTGCAACTAACGGGGGTTTTCAGTAATTGATTAAGATAACCATATACAATGACGTCATATCACAAGAGGCAATCTGACAAGGCAACCCCGCATTTGAGTTCCGATAGTGTACCAAAGTCGGACCCCGATCCCGACCTCTGTTGTTGAGTATCATCGCCACTTCGTCCTCGCAATATACCGGCGCCTACCCCTGGTATGCCTCCAACTGAACGACCGAAGAAGAAAAGTCTTCGAGCGTGAGCAAAAATTCCTCACCCTATGTGTAGAGGCGGTAGATGAATAACTAGATCCCTGTTAGATGTGAACGTTGTCGGTCGATGAAGGTGAAGTGTTCAGGATCGCATCCCTGTTCACGATGTACTCGCAGCAATCGATCCTGTCACTTTCCAGTGGAGGAGGTTAGGGTCTCTGTTAGTGAACGGTAAGGGAATGAGCAACGTCAGCGGAATCCTCGCACTAATATACGCCATCCTTCAATCCCAGCTACCTGAGGGAGTTGGAAGAACAAATTACTAGGAGTGCAACTTCCGGGCGGTATACGACTTCTGTCGGGCAAGAGCATCAGGCCCTACCTCCCTTGACGAGAAATGAAGCTGTAGACTTTTCCCCGACTCCCAATGCAACGACATACCTGCCACCAGATGACCAACAAACGGCTGGATGGCAGATAGCGTCTGACGGTAAGCGGATTTTGTTCTGCGTTACTCAACATGCCATGAAAGCTCTCTGCTTATAGTATTCCACTTGGTCCCTGAGAACTAACAGCGTCGGACAGACTCTCCAACACGTAATCCTGGAGGAAGGGTTGGCACCAGGGAGAGGCAAGAATGCCACGACTCAGAATTTTCGAAGAATCCACTTGTAGACAAAAAGGAATGGGCTTTTGCTGCAACCCCAGACGGCAGATATTGTGAGATTATTAACCCTTTTGTCACTTATAACACTTCTGATATAAGCAACATAGGGTATATGGGCCCGTCATCCTCATGGTCTTTTTGTCGTCGCGTCCTGGCCCTCTTAGGAAAACGAGTTCCTGAATCGAACTCTCCACCAGACCCATGGCATCTGGATGGTATGGCATTCAAGCTGCAATGGAAGCAAGTGCCCCCCGAGGAATCGCCTGATGTCACCAATATACCGCCTTTGGACTATGCCCTTTTTCTTTACAATACTGCGAAGTACTATCTTGCTTCTTTATCCTTCCTGATTGATGAGACATTATACCTTCAAGAGTTACACGAATTTTATCTGGATCCAGCAGCGAAGGCTGCCTCACGTAGGTCTTGGTTCGCCCAGTATCTACTTGTGCTTGCCTTTGGAAAAGCCTTCATAACTCAAAGGAATCCATCTGGGTCTCCACCTGGGCACCAGTATGCATCACGGGCGATGGCTTTATTGCCAGATCTATCCGGCATACACGAGGACCCCTTGAGCTCGATTCAAGCTTTGAGCCTAGCAGCACTGTACTTTCAGTCAATTGACATGAGAAAAGCAGCTTTTCATCACGTAAGTTTCCGAGTTTACTGGTGCCAAAGAGGTCTCTGCTTATCCCTTCACTATCCTTTAGATTGGACAGGCTCTACGTTGTTGTATTACCGAAGGCATACACAGGCATGTACCGGAAGAGCTAGGCGGGCCAGAATTTTCTCAGCGCTGTCGAGCTGTCTTTTGGGTAGTGTACATGCTGGATAGAGAGTTCTCCGCATTGATGGGAGGACCAAACTCAATCCGTGATGAGGACATCACAGTCAGGTTACCTGCAGAGGTGGCGTCTTCCGTAGAAAATACCAATCTGACATTGCATGTTCGGCTCGCGCGCCTCATGGCGCAAATCTTGACAAGTGAGTCCCATTGACAATCAGCCAAGGCGAGGCGCCATATGAATATTAACACGAATTGAGATAGCGGTATATGGAGTGGATAATGCATCTAATGGAGCGTTGATCAGAGATATTCAGTCTATTCTTCACGCACTAGCGGACCTCTCTCAAGATATCACGGAGTTTCTGGATAGCAGTTTTCATGGAACGGTTGGCCGAGGCTCAAAGATGGCAGTTAGACTGATGCTAGCCCAACATCATGTAAGTGTACCTTTATACCTTATGCATTTTTTTTCGACACATACACTAAATGACTCTTAAGTGTGTGGTTCTGACAACACGGCCTTTGGTGATGTGTGCTCTCAATATGCACATAGACAGTGCAGAGAGACAGTCGTCGCGAAGCATTTGTCTGTCGCCACCTGTGGCATCCCTCTTGCAATGCTGCGCCGATTCTGCCCAGACCATTCTTCAAACTCTTCGGTCGTTGGCCGATGATGACTTGATGGGTATGAAATACCGTTTCCCCTCTTTTGTACAATGCCAGCCCTGATATCTATTGCGCCAGATGCATTTTTACCGTTCCAAGTCGAGCATGCTTCTTCATCTGCTTTTGTTCTATACTTGATTCGCTCAATCGCCCCCTCGCTTATTGCGAATGAATCCTGGTGTGATAACCTTGACTGTGTTATCGAAAAGCTCATCTCAAAGGGCAACCCAGCGGCACCACTCCGGAAACTGGAACTGAAGCATCTGGACCTTATGCTGACACCCTTAACACCGAGATCTGCGACCCATGCAATGCTTCCAATGACTTCCGACGAGATCCAAGATAATAATGATGATACATACGCGCTGGATCAAGTGGACATAGGAGACGAAGTTGAATGGGATCTGTTGGCGCTCAGCCATTCTGTGAGCCTTCCACCAAGAGAGCTGCTCGACTTAGCAGACCAACTGGACGTGGATAGTATCATACAATCTATGGACGCTTGAGCAAGATTATTTACGGCCCAAATAAACAATATATTGCCATAAATTCATATTGAAATCCGAAATGAATGAAAATTCCTTTCATAAATTCCTCCAACTTATGGCTTACAATTCGAGAGGGAGCGTATTATATAGCAGCAACGGTCAGCCCAGCGTGGAAAAAAAGGTAAAAACTCTCGACAAGTAGGGATTCACACAACAGCAATGAAATCCACCTGAATATTTACTCCAGCAGGCAATTTGGATGCTTCCACCATAGACCGTGCCGGACAATGCGGAAACGCGGGATCATACACAGAAGCAAAGTCAGGCATTATACTGGCGTCTCTAACATAGGCCTATGGTATCTCAAGAGGTTAACAGGATAACAGTGAAGATGACACAAGATTATCCAAGCTTTTGCGCATTCGAAGGGTACTTACAACCACTTTGACAACCCGATCCAGTCCGGAGCCGGCCTCTTTAAGAATAGCTTCGGTGTTCTGGATGATGGCTTTAGCCTTCTCAATAGTGGAGCCCTTGATGAGATTACCGTGCGCGTCCGCAGGGATCTGGCCGGAGAGCCAGACCTGGCCGCCGGCCTTTATTGCTTGCGACTAATATGGTCGGCGAAGTGCTTCGGGGCTTACTCTGGGCAACATACGTAGTGTGCAAAAGCTAGACAACAATCAGCCTGTATGATTTGAGTATATTGAGGACCTGTTCCCACGGGCATATGCTCGATTGGTCTGCACTCTTGTTACTGGGGTAAACATGGGTGCAGTGGTGGACATGGATCGACTCCTAAAAGCTGGGGTCGGAACAGAGTAGAAAGATGGCTGAGGGGAGATATATTGCGGATAGCACACGGGGAGAACATGTTATGAGTTCAAAATCAGAGCGCGGCTAAGGCGATAACATACACGGGCTATACTCGTGCGCTTTGGAGGATCGGCCTTTGTATACAAGAAGTGGTCGGGATTGGATACCGGTCTGTCGGAGGATAGATCCGACATCTTCTCATTTTTCAACATCTTCAGCGCCACTGTTTCCAATCACAACCCCATATAATATAATCTAAGACCAGACTTCACGTTTAAAATGATACGATCACGAACCCTCAGGCGCCTCCTGTCCTCATAGTAAGCCTCTAGCCATAACATCTCTGACCAAGTCCCAACTAACAGCAAACAAGCGCTACACCCGCTCGCAGCGCTCTCAAGCACCAACCATTTCGGAACCTCCGCCAAAGTTCCTCAATGGCAGCTATAGCAACAGCAACAGCAAAAGAAAGCGAGAGCAACGCCGCACATAGAAACTACAAAATCGTACAAGACGTAGGCAACTTCGCAGAGAAGGAAGCCCAACGTCCCGACTTCGACCACACCAAGCCCATCGAAACCACCAAATCCCCCTACCCAGCCTGGGACTACGGACAAGGGATACCAGACAACGACGCCAGTCTATCGCAAGAGCATCACGAGGTAGACCCCTACGCGCCAGACCGGCCGTCGGTGAACAACTACCGGCTGCTCGTCTCCGCCATCGCGCCCCGCCCAGTCGGGTTTCTCAGCACCGTCAATGCAAAGGGCCAGAAGAATCTCTCCCCCTTCAGTTACTTCCAGGTCATTGACCATGACCCTCCGATGTTCATCGTCGGGTTCTCGTCCCGTCCGGGCCGGGTGAAAGACACGTACCGCAATCTCAAGGAAACAGGCGAGTGCGTGATCAACACCGTATCCGAGAACATGATCGAAGTGGTGAATGCCACCTCCATCGATGCGCCGTATGGTGTTTCTGAGTGGGATGTCTCAGGTCTGCACGAGGCGCCCTCAACGACTGTGAAGCCGTCGCGCGTGCAGGAGTCCGTGTTCAGCATCGAGGGCAAGGTGATCGATATTAAGGAGTTTGCGGATCATCAGCAGCCAGGGATGAGCATTGCTGCTACGGTGTTGATCAAGGCGACGCGGTTCTGGGTTAAGGAGGGGGCTGCTAATGCCGATTTCAGTCATATCGATCTTGACAAATTGAGGCCTGTGGCGCAGCTGGGGGGTGTTTCTTATGGGCGGATTGTGTCGACTTTTGAGCGGCCGCGGACGACGTGGAGTAATGAGGTGGTGAAGAGTGAGTTGTTGGCAAGCTTGGAGAGTAAGGGGGAGAATTGATCTACAGGATTTTGTTTGTTGATAGATGGTTTTGTATATAGAGGCATTGTGTCGGTGTTGCGTTTTTCTTGCTCTCTCTTTCCTTCACTCTCTTTTGGGGTCTCATCTAGATAGAATTTAGATTTGATGGATCCAGTCACCAGCGAAACTGTAGTAGTCCTTCTCACAGATCAACACCAACGATACTCTTGTTCGGGCCAACGTCGATTGGCTTCATGGGGGCATTGTCATATCCACCGTCGACCCATATGCTAACGTCACACTTGTCCTAGATCCAAGCCAGCCCAGCTCCACCTGACCAGTGGAGGCGTGGGGCGATTCAGTAGGGACTGTGTCCCGTCTTCCAAGCATCTGACCTAGCCTTTACACCCTGCGTCAAGCAAGAGTGGTGAGCGGATTTGAGCAGGGGGCCTGAAATTAGATTAAACCCTTCTTCCTCCCTAAGGTGGAACCGATGTGTAAAAGCGGATGTAACCTTAGTAGCAAACTAGCAGCGAAGTTAGACGGTAGACCCAATGAAATTTATCGATAGCGAGTGATCCACTTAGTCTAATAGACTGCCCTATAAGCCACATAGATGGGGCATCGTCAATTCATGAAGTCCATTGATCATTATGGGATCAAAGTGACCGCCAGATATGATCGTGGTGCGACGGAGATGTCCGAATCGATTTTTTCTAGGAGCCTCATTTCAGCATGCTTATCTTACATCAGACTTGGCGTATGCTTTGGACATCTCAGCTGTTTGAGGCTGAGTTTGGGGTCTTCCCTGAGATGTAGATGTTGGATCGTATGTATCCCATGGGCCTTGGACTCCACGAGGCAAGACTGTACTGGTCACCATCAATTGCTATATAAGGACCGGTCAATTCCAGCAAGAAAGAAACCTAACAAGTTTGAATCCAACAGCGAATTCCTTACTGCTTTATTAGAACCACTCAAGGAACAATCCCACATCCACCACGCCTAAATTGAACAATATACTGTTCTACACCATGACAGAGATACACAACAAGGATAGCACCATGCGGTCAGTCGTCTTTGACGGCCAGCCGTTCGAGGTTCATGTCCGTGACGTACCAAAGGCAAAGGTCGTCAGGCAAACGGACGCCGTGGTTCGGGTCACTTCAGCGGCTCTCTGCGGCAGCGACCTGCACAACTACCACGGCGTCTTTGGCAGCAAGCAGGTGCCTTATCCTATTGGACATGAAGCGATGGGGATCGTCGAGCAAGTGGGAGCAGATGTTGATTCCGTGAAGGTTGGGGATAGGGTCATTATCCCTGATTTGCCTAGTGGCGTCGGGCTGGATTTAGAACCTGCTATTAACCCCCCAATTGCGTTTTATGGACAAGGCCATCAATTTGGCGATTTGGGAGGTTGCCAAGGTATAGTTTAGCGCTCTATGATCATGTTTCTTATTATCTCTTGAGAAGCAAGAGATTGATCCTCATTGAAGGAAGAACTTGTGTCTAACTGACAACCCCCATTTCAACAGCCGAGTTCGTGCGTGTTCCACTCGCGGACAAATCCTTGTTTGTTCTTGGGAAGGAATATGATATGATTGCAGATACAGATCTGGTTCTTCTTTCAGACGTCTTCCCTACTGCCTGGGCGGGCGTTACTTGGTCGGGCTTCGAGGCCGGAGACAAGATCGCGATATTCGGGGCCGGCGCAGTCGGACTCCTTGCGGCGTATTCGGCAATTCTTCGTGGTGCCTCACGAGTGTACTGCATCGACTCCGTCGAAGAACGACTGGAACTCGCCGCTTCCATTGGCGCTATTCCGATCAACTTCACGAAGGGCGAACCGTCGGCGCAAATCCTAGCCCGGGAACCAGGCGGCGTTCAGCGCACCGTGGACTGTGTTGGGGAGGAGTGCGTCAACGAGACATTGAAGCCTGATCAGTCGTTTGTGATCACACAGGCGATCAAGTGCACCAGCGTGGGTGGTGGCTTAGGGGTTATTGGCGTATACTTTGCTCAGGCGTATTCCGAAGGAGTTCAGCGAGGAAATACTATTTCACCGTCTATTACTTTTCCCATGACGCTCTTCTGGGAAAAGAACATAACGGTTCGTGGTGGTGCGGTGGACAGCAAATTATATGTGCAGCCACTGCTGGAATTGGTAAAATGTGGCAGAGCTAAACCGGGGTTCGTTTTCTCTAGCGTTATCGATATAGAAGAGGCACCGAACGGATATCGACGGTTTTCGGATCGCCTGGAGACGAAAGTCATGATCAAGTTCTAGGAATCAGGATAGAAAGTGCATTGCCAATGATGTTTATTAAACACTCCTTTATGACCTTGTGTCTGACTCAGAAATAGACCAACAAATAATTGCAACCATACTTGTACAACTCAGAAGATAGAACTTTCTCTATGTCAAGTATCCGCGAATGTATATGTTCTAGGGCACAAATACAGCACACACAGCCTAACCATGACCAGGAAATACTCCTAAGTAACATTGACTCATTAGACCCTCATAGTAATAAAACTACCCTCAAAACCAATATCACGAACAACCCCTACCAACCACTCACTCACTCACCCTCCCACCACAGATAACCCATCAACAAACCGGCTCCCTCACAGCAGGATCATACTAAACAACATATAACATCAGCACCAATCCCTCCAACAACCTCACCCCCGAAAGTCCCGGGAATGGAAGAAGGACGAGGAAGAACTTACCGGCCAGATCTGCATCTTCTCCAAGTCCCAAACCCCACTTGTAACATAAACATCTTTCTCTATAACGGCACGGACTTCTTCTGCACTCTCGCCGGTGTACACAACCATACTACCCCTAATTTGGATATCACTGTTTTCTGTACTGTGGGATTCGAGGATGGCGCCTGTTTTGGTTTAGAATTCTTATCATCATCACAATATGTACCCACAGCAGCGGTGGCGATATGATATATCCAGGTGGTAGCAAAAATAATATCATCGCAAGATAGATAGATGGGATAGAGCTTACCTCCATTGACAAGTCTCCCAGCTGCTACTAGCAATTTGACACCTTCATAATGTGCGCTGCGTACACCCGTGAGTACTTACTTCACTAATCATTTTATGATATGTAAGGACAATAGACTGTAGCCTGCAAAAACTTACCATTTCACCTTCTTTCTAAGCCCCAGGACATTAGGCTTATCGAGTATAATGCACAGGAATTCTTTCATCGGGGCGATTGGCTTTGTCTTTGTCTTTGTTGAGAGGAATCTTGTGCTGATTGGACTCGGGGGTGATGGGCGGAAGTGTGCCCTGGAGGCGAGTCTGGGGGCTAGGCGGGTGGTCATCTGGTATAGTAAATATATACGATTGTGATTCTAGGTTGGTAAGAGGGTTTGTCTTGTGACGTATCTTTTGTGACCAGACTCGATTTGAGGGGTTGTTATGTATCTCGATTGGTACTTGGGTTTAATGTATCGGTGTACGATGCCGATGGCTGCATTTGTCCCGGAAGGAGACTCCGATGGTGTTGGGAGTTAGGGTTATGGTTTTGTTTGATACTGCGCCACCTCTTTTTCTTTTCTTTTCTTTTCTTTTTTTACAAATGACTAGATACGGGTACTATAACGGAAACTGATAGGAGCTTGCTTGCTGAAATTGATGCATACATGCTGTACGGATTGATGCGCGTTCAGGTTGTTGAACGGCGTACTACGAGAGGCTATCCAAGGCGCTCATCGAATAGAAATATCCTGTTAAACTCGGTCAAAGCATTAAGCGTGGATTATGTAGATAGGTTAACCCGGCAAGTCGTCAAACGTTTCATGGACGAAGTATATGTACTGTACAAACTGACATCTACCATGCACGATATTGCCAGAAGGAAATCAGAAATAGAACTGAAAAATTAGAGTACATCCGAAACGAAACTCTCGCGCTCAGTCAACAACAATAAAGTCCATATATAGTAAATAACAGCGAGAAAATAGTCGCTGCAGCAGGATATACCCACATTCAGAATGAGGACCGTCATTTTGACTCAGCCCTGTCTGTTCTGGCTGCCAGCGCCGTTCCCTGATGATGCGGGTCTCATCCCGCTATTAATTTGAGCCGCAATCTGGCTCTGTTTGAATTTCTCAAACGTCTCTGCATCTTGCTTATGAGTTGCCCATAGCTCTTCTACAGTCGTGCCTAACTGCTCGAACGTTTTGTCGGCACCCACGCCGTCAAAATGGGAATGTTCCTGCTCCTCTTGCAAACGTTCGAGTTTCTCGCGAAGGGCCGCAATGTGTGCATCATCGAGGGCGAGCGATGAATCGTCACCGCCTTGATCGAAGGAGGGATTAAGAAAGTCGCGGCGAAGGTTTTGGCCAAGACGATGGACATGGCCTTCTTCCGAGGTCATTGCACGTGAATGGAGAGAAGTCATCGAGCTTGCTCGCGATATGCCCAAGGCGTACTGATCGGCATCTTCATCGTCAATAGCACACTCATCGCCTTGATCGGCGATCGGTTGGGTGCCGAATGTAGCCCCACCGTTTACGTCGTCACCAGAATTCTGGGAGCTGTTATCCGGAGCTGTAGCGAAGACCGGTTGTGGTATGATCCGCGTCTCTGGATACTCGTCCTCGAATCGCTGAATCATCCTATGCAGGGTGAAATCAAGGAATTGAAGACGCCCTAACGTAGACACAGAAGAGTTAGCATTATTATCAGCTCATAGATGCAACGTGTGGACATACTGTAATTGATATCATTGCCGGCTCTATCCTCACGGACAAGAGCCGACTGAATCCTGGTACGAATATTCCGGGCGGATTCAAGTAAATTCTTCGACATATCACGGGGTCTTTTCGCCGCATAAGACTGGGATTTCCTGTGTCTGGGCGTTGTCGTGCCACTGGGGGGGCCAGACTGGTCCCCGGGCATATGATTATCTAGGTTACCAAGGCAGACCCCCAGAGCTTTGACGACACCGGTTCCTCCAATGACGTAGTCCTCATCAGGAGCTGGCTCATCATCTTCCTCGCCAACTTCCTCCCCGCCGCCATGGCCAACAATATGTTGCAGAATGTCGGGCACAGGAACGGTCGCACGGGCACAGGACGGGTCACCAGGCACAGATAAATCTCCTTCAATAGCACCTCGTTCGAGGTTTTGAAGAGAATAGGCCACGATCTGGGAGGCGAGAGCCTTCACCACTTCATTGTTTTCTGCACTTGGAACTTCGATATCCACTGCTATGATCGTCCGCGACACACGTACCGCTGCCATTATGGAGGCGTAAACAGCACACGCTTCTTCCTGGTTACTCGCGTCTGTTGCAGCAGCTAGCGCACTAATTGCGGGATTTTCCAAGATGCTCAGGTGGCACAATCTAGGGCATTCGGGAAGGACTTCAGCAAGAGCGATGGCATGGTCGGCGGACAAATTCACATCAGTTAAATGGATGCGCTTCAGCGAGGGCATTTTTGGGAGGAAACGCCGGAAAATCGCTAGAGCATCAGGTTGACTGGAAAAGAGCTCAGGGTTATGGGAGAAGTCAATGAATAGAAGATTGGGAAGACGCGTCAAGGCTTGGAGTAAAGGACCAATGGCAGTCGGGGTAAGAGCGCAGTCCGCAAGACTCAGCGCGTAAAGGTTGGTTTCTTTTTCAATAGCCGATGTAATCAGGTCCAAATGATCTCGGATGGGATTGCCGCCCAGATCAAGCCCTTCGCATTTGCGTGACCTAAGATATCGAATAACATGTTCCAAGCCCTCTCTGTTCAGCTCGTTGTTCGCGAAGCCAAGCCGCCTCAACCCGAGAGTCGTGGCTGCATCACAGATCTTCTTCACCTCGTCTGTTGTGGGTTTGCACTCGCTCATCAGGAGTTCCTCAAGATGATCACCACCGAAGCGCCGAGAGAGAGAATTAGCGAAGACAGTTGCAACATCCACCGCGGAACCAGTAGCACACGAGGTTTTAGGGAGCTGGCCATTCAGATCATGTGTTGTGATAGGTGCCTTCGGAAGTGGTATACCTGACAGGTCAATGGCCTTGAGGGATTTCGAGAGGTGAACGAACAGGCAAATATGGCGCCACCCTTCCTTGCCGATCTTTGGATTATCTTTGAGGGATAGTTTCTCTACGACGCTATTTCTTTCTTCTTTCGCCGGAGCCTGAGAGCCCGGGCCCGACTTTCCTGTTCGCTTGCGTCTCTGCCTCATCTGCTCCACGGTTTTTGTGGAAAGCAGGGCAGCAAGGATTGACCGCACTGAGTCATCTGTCAAAGCACATTTTTCCAGAATAATCTTTCGGACAGGGACTACCGCCAGCCAGTCACTGAAAGTGGCCATGTCCTGGGGGGTCATGGGAAAGTTGGTGAGATCGAGCACACCAACCGTTCCTGGAGATTCCGCGAGGATGGAGGAAGGTGCGGAGATTTCATCAACTATTCTTTTCAGCACGGGCGTCTCCCGTAACTGGCAGCAACGTCTGTAAATCCGTACGGGGTCCGTTGTCGGGTGGCTCTGCGTTCTCGAGCGCGGGTTACCAGGCAGAGGTGCGGGAGGATGGTCCTCATGATCATCGGCAGTTAATTGTAGGGGAATAGAACCATTCGCTTCTGCTTGCCTCCGTCTCCTCTCCCTGCGCTCCTTCCTTTCCTCCTCCGATCTCTTCTTCTTTTCCTGTTTTCTGGTTGGCTCTTTGGCTTCGCCATTTACTTTGGCATCATTTGGGGTGGTTTCCGGTTGACCAGCCTGCGTTCCAGAGGCGATATTTTCTTGGGTCCGCTTTTCCTTATCTGCCAACACTGTTTGCGGATGTTTCAACGCAGAGCCTTCATCTTTGTCTTTCGACTTGGTGCCTGACTTTTTCGTTTTCCCATTCAGATCTGGGACGTTCCGATGCTTGGCATTGGTAGGACTGCTTTCTTCGTCAGACTCTCGGCGAGAAATACCCGCAATCTCAACGTCTACGCAAAATGCAACGCGCCGTAACTTGGCCTGGTCCAAATCTGGGATCTTGCACCTATCCCGGCCCTGGTCAATGTTCATCACGCGACGTTCGCAAATAACGCCATTGGAAGCCAACTTGCCCGATCCGCCCGATGAAGAGGATGACAGTTTCCGAAAGGCATTCTGGAGGAACGATGGGCCCTTGGGAGAGGCGGACGTAAACGGATTCGGGTCGTCTTTTTTTTCATCGTCCCTGTCTTTGGGAGAATAGGCTGCTCCGAATGGATTGTGCATATCGAGTTTTGAAACCGGAGAGGTTGCCTTGACGGTCGGTTGACTCTTCAGGCTGGACTGCGACGGGGGTGTAGAGCCCGAAGAGAACTTGGAGCTGAGGCTTGAGATCCATGAGTTCCGCCTCCCGATTGGCTTCGGAGCACTTTTCTGAGGATTCGGGGACGATCCAGTCGACTTCCCATCCGTGGTCTTATCATCAGATCTCACTTCCTTCTCAGTTCGTTGAGCATTCTTTTGCGCCTCCGGTGTGGGTGTTGCGGCAGGGGTGAGAGGCTCGTATGGAGGTGGTGGCGAGGTTCTCTCGACGGGAGTTTCTTTACTTCGTGGTCCGACGGCGGGTTCCGTATCGAGAGCCGACTTGTCGCTGTGCGTAGACGACGTGGATTTGCACCTGGAGAGATTATCTGCTGGGACGTTAGAGGCCAATCCGAATGATAGTGGATGCGACAGAACACCCCCGTAGTGGGTATAGCGCTGGCTGGGGTTCGCTGTCACCTTTCTGCGTATGATGCAGCCAGCTGACATCAACGGTCTCAGCCCCTTCCATTTTGAATAAAATTCTCGCCTGGCAAGTCGATTGGAAATTAAATGACTTTGTGGCCCAGCAAATTAGTTGGTGTACTAGTGAAACAGGGCAGACGGGTTCAAGCGCATACTCCGGTCCACGGAGTCAAGAATCAACCACAGTTCGAGGATTCAACAATCAGCAGTATAGATCGTAGAATATAGTGTGTCGAGTCAAAGACGCATCTGTTCCCTAATGAACCATTACAAGGCCTGATGGTGGACGTATAACATCATGACATAACGACAAGGGCTGGCGATCATGGTGGGTCGGAGAATACGATTGGTGACAATGCGGCAGAGAGAATAGATGACAGACGAGTCCACGAGGTATAAGACACCTCGAGGGCGAAACCTCAGGAGAAAAAGGAGAAGTAGAAAAAAAAGAGGCCGGTGCGGAATGAGGCAAATTGGGATGAATGGTAACTCCGTACCTTCACCTAGTTTAAAGAATGGCCGACTGCGGACTAGTTAGTGGGGATTATCGAAAGCTGAAGGAATTCTTTGCGGAGGTTTCTCTCCTTACCTAATCCTGGTACGACCACGGTACGATACCGCGATAGATTACCGGTTGACGTTGAGAAAGTCCGCAGGAAGGTCAATCATCGATGCACGTTTCATGTCGCACGACTTATCCCTGGTCTACAAGCATAATTCGTCTCCTTGTCTACCATAAGCGACGGACTCCCGTCGACTCGCCTGTCACTTCCTCTTCCGTGGTTTCCGCTGGTAAATTCCGTTTTTTCCTCACACGACACAGCGCCAAGACTCCCTAGAACGCGTACGGTAACGATACGTGGGCCTAGAAAATAGGGTCAGTCAAGAGGGCCCACGTCTGTACCATTTACCGATGCCCCATGATTGTTAGTAGTGGAATCCCCCTCATCGAAGTCTGTAGGGTGGGATCGAACAAGAGAGTCGATGATTAACCTCTTTGTAATACGGTTTGGTAACTGAATACAACTACCCACCAGTGAAAAGTGATCTAATTGTTCCATGGACAGGATGTACTGTATGGACGCAGTACACCGTACAGCAATGCTTCACCGTGTAACAATCCAAAGAAGCTTGTTCGAAATTCTCTGTGCTTTTCTTAGGGCACGAGATGCATGAGGCCTTGATAATGGTGATTAATCCCCCGCGGATTGGTCCAGCAACTGGCCTCCTGCAAGCACTAGTAACCGATCCTCGTCGGTGCATATGACGTAGTCGTCCAGCTTTCCTCGTTATCATGATTGCATGATCTCAATCGGTCCACCATATCAGATCGAACCAAGAAAAATGATAAAAAAAAAAGCATGGAAATTGAGCAGTGAAAGGGGAGGACGGTTTCGTGCGATCAAGATCTCCCATCCACGCAGACTGGTTTTGGTACCGCGTGGCGTCCAGTGTTTCCGGGGGTTATGATTGACTTGAGTTTAAAGTATGACGATCCGAACCTTTCAATACAGGAGAATGTCTGAAGTCTACCAACACTTCGAGTATCTTCTGTTATTCTGTGTGTGTTTAAACTTTCTCTTTCTCGAGTATGTACGGAGGACTTTTGAACCCCTCTTTTTTTACTTTTACTTTTTCTTTTTCTTTTTTTTTTACCCCCTCCACTTGAAAACACCTGACTGGGCTGCAGAGGGTCCCTTTGGGAAATATGAGGGCTTTCTCTTGCCCGTTTTGGCTGTCATTAGAACTCGTAAAGTACAATACCAAGTGCCTCGACTTGAGAAGATAATCTTTAGTTATAAGATAATATCTCGTCATAATCAATCTTCAGAGTAATTTCGGTAATCATGGCCGCGAGGAACTACCCAGCTCAGTAAGATGCTCCGGAGTCGATTTAATGCATGTTACTATGTACAGCAACACTGTCCAAACCCACATTCACGCACACACTGGCAAAAAAAAACCCCACTCGACTAGCACCAACAAGTGGTTCCAGTTTCCAGCGCTATGGGAACAATCTATGGCGTAATAGTCCCAATTGGACGAAGATCCTTTCGCTACGAGAGGGTGGATCAGGTGATCGGTGGGGCGGCTGTTGCCACTTTAGGTTAGCACGAACCAGGCACGTGAGGGGAAGACAACAAGACAACAAGACAACAAGACAACAAGACGCTACAAGCGCTGGAGATCTACGCGGAGTATTGAACTTTCCCCTATGATTATCCGACGGTAAAGTGGGCTAATACAGTAAGTAAACGTTGTTACGCTCATTGTGGCATGCCTTTACGACTTGTATGATATGTCACTGCAGTCTTGATACCAGCTGGCAACCCCGAAAGGGAAGTTGATAGACGGTCATTGTTGTTTGTACGCTGCCACATTCTATTGGTTGTCTGTACGAAATAACCATCCTATCTTTTGGTGTGTTTTTATTAGGGCTGGACACGAATAGCAAAATACGGGGTTTCTTCTACACCTGACGGTGTACGGAACCGACAGACAGCTCGGTAACCAGCGTCAATGCGTTTGTGTGTAACAGGCGAATGTATATGAATCAGAAGATGGCGCGGGCGGAGGCCTCAGACCAGCCTTGCATAGTCAATCCCCCACAGCAAACTTGCTCCGCGCTCGCAGCTTCGCGCCATACACATAGATAAAAATCATCCCAAAGATACCTCCAACCGAGAGACCCGCCAGCACGGTAACCCCTTTGCCAATTCCCAGGTCAAGAAACATATACCGCGCGAACATGACGAACCCGGCGGCCGTTATGGATCGCGTAACGTCGGCCGCCGCAAAGAGCGAGGCCACATAACGCGGGTACGATAACGATATGTAGACGATAATCGCCTGATAAACAACAAAGGATGATCCCGAATATATGACTATGCCGATGGTAGGCACGATCCAGTGGACTGAGTGTCGGACTGTCCAGGCAAACATGAAAAGACCAGCGGGGAGGAGAAAGACTGCGGGGAGTGTTGGAATCAGACGGTCTTCTTGACTGGGATTGTCGTTGCGACACCGAGGAATAAAGCTATACTTTAGATACACCCCATACAGTCCTGCGGCTAATGCACACCCAACAATGATGGCGAGGAATATCAAGCTCAAAGAGGTTTGGGGCATTTGATATACACTGCCGTAGGCAATTGGGAAGGCCTCGAAGAATGAGTAATAGACAGCATACACAAACGACACGTAAACGGACATATATGCGAGAGCTGGGTCCATAACTGTCATTTCAATTGGCTTGATCAATGCGTCGATCAATATGGCCTGGAAGCCAAGCTGTCTAGTCTCATCTGGGGCCAAAACTGCTGGATGGAAGCGATGAAGGCGTTGGGCTCGACGAAGTAAAATTGTCTCATGCGACGTCTCGGGCAGTAGGCAGACGAGAATGATGAGGAATGGTGCGCTCATTAGAACAATCTCCCATAGAGGCCAGCGCCAGTTGGAGGTCACCGCAAAGGCTGCCAGTAACGGTCCCAAGGCCGGGCCACAATAAAATCCAGTGACCCAAAATATGAATCCATAGGGGGCATTGATCAACGAAAGCATATCCTGTATAGTGGCGCCCCCGCTGGCCAGACATGGACTGCCAAAGAAGCCCTGAAGAAAACGCAGTACGACGATGGCTGGAAAGTTATCTATGACTGCGAGGATAATCGACACAATTACAAACAGTATAAAGGATAATACGTAAGGAGGGTTGCGACCGATGCGAGCAATTTCACTCAATGGCGAGAAAACCAAAGGGCCGACACCGTCTGTGTTGAATTAGTACTTCGACATAAGATCAAAAGAAGTCATTCGGGAAACAAACTCACATCCAACGACGTAGATAGCCAAGGTTAGCTGAACGACCTCCCTAGAAATGCCATATCGAAGCATCATGAACTCGTAACTGGGGATAACAATAGACGATCCACAATAGACGATGAATGAGTAAGCCCTGGTATCGGTCAGTAGATGGTCGATGTCAACAATGTATTGCACTTGCGAGATAAGCAATGTCACCCATGCTTTGCGCCCCAAAGACCAATTTAAGGGGTTTTCTGGATCATCAGGCGTATACCAGCCGATGATCATGCCCTGATCAATTGTGTTCGCGGTGCACAGCTTCTCCGCATATGAAATTGTTTCCTGGCCGCTCTCGAGGTCTTTATGAGAATGTTCGTCCAAGCATGAAGCTCTTTTGGCCTCACGAAGGTCAAATGTCGGATCATCTTCAGGGTAACTCAACCAGCGAGACCCAAGTAGAAGACGAAGGGTATCACCTAAACAGTTCCTCGTATCCAGCTTTTCATGGCGACAAACTATGGCGATGTCTACCTCGGGGGGATAAAGAAAGGGGAAGAAAAGCAAAGAGAACGTTAAAAACAAGAATGAATATCTGTATCTTTAGCTGTTTATGCTATAAACTAGAGAGTCATGAATACTTTCCCCCGAAGCATATAGTTGCGAAGCGAGGCGTGCAGGTTGGTGCATTAACAGTGCTCGTCTTGTTCAGGTCACTTTTTGTCTGCAGTATTAGCAGACAAATAAGTCTCGCAAGCCACAAGTTTACATTCTCAATATATGGCCACTGTGACCGACCCCGTGGAGTTAATTTGCTGCCAGATACTGACTCCAGCAAACATCAGCGGGAAGTTAGTGATAGGCATATTGAAAGTCTGTCAGTTCACACGCATAACCCTCCACCACATAACAGGAATGAGCCTGTTTATGAGTGCTGGAACCAGGAAACAATGTTTTTGTAAGCCGGTATGCACAGTCAGCAATCGTCGCCATGATGAAATCTATCAAGGCGAGGTCGAATTGGAACCAGCACCAGGTGATGATTCTCCACTACCCAACAACCTTATTTGCACTCCCTACTTTGTAGTTTGGCATTGTATACGTGGGGCCACTATGGGGTCATAGACATTAGACATCGAGGTGAGCTATTCTCGGATGGGGTACTGTTTGACTTTATCTCAAAAGTAACCTGATTGATCTAACATCTAAACAATCTCTATTAATCTCTATATAATACTCTCTATAAACAGAGGCGACAAGCTTTAGCGCAAGCCGTTAAGCTAAAATTAAATACCGTGAAAATTCAGTCAAGTTGTGAAGTATGCAAGCAGGGGCTTTTCATAGCAAGAGCCTCCTCGCCTCACCCCCCAAAAGCCAGACGACGCATGTCTTCATTTGCGCTTCTTGCCCTTGGGTACTCGACAGAGCCAGTACAGGGATATGGCTGCAAATATATTAAACATCACGTACACCCACATCAACCCGAAGTCCCTCCATCGCGTTGAAAAGTCGATATTGACATTTTGCAGAAATTGGGTAGTGTTTCCTGTCGCGCAAAAGTGACAATCTTCGCCCCCTTGGGCTGCTGAATTGAGCAAGTACCCCCCATTCGAGGAAATATAATCCTGCATATACTCGCCACAGGTTAGGTTTGCGGGAGTCGAAAAGGACAAAAACTCCTTTTCGGCGCAGTGCATTGGCGCTTCGCCGAGACTAGTTGATAGCAAGCCGGACACTAGGTACGTGAACGGGTTGACTCTGTACATGAAAATCCAGAAACCAGGAAGAGCGTCCGGGCCTGCAAGAATTCCGCAAAACGCGTACATCATGATAGCTAATATATTAGAGAGACTCGAGGCGATCTCTTCACTCTCGATGCCTGCGATTAACATGTGCGCCAACGAGCTGGCGAAGAGAAAGGTCACCCAGATGAAGAGAAAGGCGAGGGTGCTTCGATAGTGCAGCGTGTCGGTGTACTCGGCGTTGTGGAAAAGACCCACGGGGTAAAACCAAACAAGAAAACAGAATATTGCCATGATCTAGGAGATGTTAGAGTCTGACTGAGTACTAGGCGTCGTACAGAGACTGTGTGGACAAAACATACCGAGTTCCATGCAAGCTCGACTAGTATGTTGGTGAGAACGAATGCTTGCCACGAATAAGTCTTGGATTGTCGCTCCCGTGCTTCGTAAAGCGTTCGTTGCGTTACAAACGACGGGATGATCTGGATAATCAACTGAATGACGACGAAGAGGAAGACAAAAACACCAAACATTTGATTTTGTAGGCCCTGGGCTGTATTGTCGGCTTTGAAGAAAGAGAACCCTATGAAGAGTGACTGGGGAACAGCTCATTAGAACTCAGTGTAGAAATAAGTCCGTCGAGAGAATACTCACACAACCAATCGTAAGCAAAACCTTGGAATAGATGTACGCTGGCGTTCGCCAGTACTGTTGGAACACTCTTAGCCCAACTTGCACAAACTGTGTCGCGAACGGAGCCGCGAATTCCGCATAGCTGGATCTGTTGTTCGTGTCTGCAACGGGCGATAGTTGATTGGCCAAAGCTCTCAAGTTTGAGAGCTCATGGCGCACATTCTGATATTCAGGGCTGTTTCGCCAAACTGCTGGCCAGTCAATCTCGCTTTTAGCTCCCGGTGCGGCACCAATCACCTCAAGCATGTGCTCTGCAGGATTGCTGCCAGGTGGCAAAGCAGGGCCACCATTACGCGTGAAATAGTCCATCAGTACTCTAGACTCGCGTCCGATCTCACCAAAGTAGACAGTTTTGCCTCCCTTTGCTAGAAGAAGTAGTCTATCAAAGCGTTGGAACAACATGGCAGACGGCTGGTGAATGGTACAGAGAATAGCTTGTCCATTCTTAGTCAGAGTCTCCATCAGATTGCAAATTGACCATGAAGTCTGACTATCCAGGCCAGAGGTAGGCTCATCCAGGAAAAGAAGCAGTTTCGGACGTGCGGCCAGCTCAACGCCAATTGTAAGGCGCTTTCTCTGCTCCACGTTAAGCCCCTCTCCAGGTATCCCAACTATAGCGTCAGCATAGTCTCTCATATTGAGAAGATCAAGAACTTTCTCAACATAGTCCAACTTTTCTTCCCGAGTATACTGAGGCGGCTGTCTGAGCAAGGCGCTAAACTCTAGAGCTTCACGCACAGTAGAGGTGTGAAGATGAAGATCTTGTTGTTGTACATAACCTCTTTTCCGTTGAAATGAGCTGTCCCGTGGTCGGCCATCGACGAGCATATCGCCACCAACAACCCCAACTGTGGTGCGGTTAGCCAGCACATCGAGTAGAGTTGTTTTTCCAGCACCGGAACTGCCCTGTGAATTGCTTATGAGCCTGACATAGTCGGAAATATTCCGGTAGAGGTAGCTTACCATTAAGGCAGTCAAAGTGCCAGGTTTGATCCAACCATCAACATGATCTAGAATCCGCCGAGTTTCACTCTTGATCTTAACATCATAGCATACATTTTCCCAGTGAAAGATAGATGTCTGTTTCTCCACACCTATCGTCGAGTCAAGTCCCTCGCTATGCTTCTCGTTTTGAATGATAGGGGCTTGTGTCCGCTCCTCATCGTGTTGGTATTGTTTTGTCCTGGCTTTCTGTGAGCTACCGCGGCGAAACACAAGAACTTCGCCCTTTGACCGCTCAGAGGCAACTAGCTCTGTTGCTATAATCTGGCATAGTGCGAGAAAGATAGTGAGTGCGAGTATAATACCGAAATTTCTCCAGCGATGACTGTTTTCATATCCGTATGTGGATTTAACGAAAGCTGTGCCGTCAACGAGATCTGAGCCTGGAACAGATCCTACGACCGAGCAGATACGCTCGTCCTTGGAGACATTCTCGTATCCTACCCCAGAAGGAACGAATGACGCACAGGGGAAAGTCCTCCCGTGAAACTCATTGACCATTATAGCCTCGAAACCATATGCGACAGGATTCAAGTGCCGAATCCACGAAGCCCATCCGCGCATATAGCTCACTGGAATGGCAAACCCGGTATATAGGACTAGAGCCATAAGGATGATTGATGACGGAGCCAACGCCTGCTGGATGGTTTTGGTAAGTGATGCGAAGAGGCGGAAAAACATCGACATGCTCATCACCATCATGAAAGAAATTAGATAGTTGAAGAAAAACGGCCCGGGTTCACGACGGAGATTTGCCATGAAATACAACGTTATGTTCATCAATATCGAGTTCACCAGTTTGTATGGCATGTCCATGATCATTGACGATATGGCCTCTGCACTAGGGTGGTAGAGGGCATATCGGTTATGCTTTTCCACGATTGTTCGTTTTGCATACAAGCTCAAAATTTCGAGCATGCTTGAAAAGGCATTCAAGAGAACCATCATAAATAGAATAGCCCCGCGGGAGAAGAACGATGAAGTGTTACCTGAGAGATTGTAAAATATACTCGAAATTATCAGCGCCTCAAAGAAATTGTTAATAAGCATGACGATGGTAACACTGGGATCGTTTTTGAGACGCTGAAATTCCCTCCACATACAGAGCCGAATTTGGCCCCAGTATGACAGAGTATATGGCGATTTATGTCGTTGGTTCTTTGACTTTTCGGTCTTCCGGGATTGGGCAAACCGATCAAGATCGGCTCCATCGAAGGGATGTTCATTAGCGTACTGATCAATTTGGCGCAACAGTGATTGACGTTCAGGGCTCTCTTTCCAGCGCTTTGCAAACTCCTCGGATGTTCTAGGCGCCAGGCTCTCAAAACCCGGCCTGACGATGCGTTCGGTTGGACTGGACATCGATGTGAGGAAGTCGGCAGTTGTCTGAGACTCAGGGCATAGAAAGCCGAGTCGTTCAAAGTAACCTTTAGCATCATGCGCAGCGCCGAAGTATATCTGGTGTCCTTCATATAAAACAATGACTTTGTCAAAAAGCTGGCTTGTTGGTTAGCAGTGTCCAATGCCTGGTCATAGCTTCTTGGGCTTACATTGTACGCAGATTGGGGAGCCTGGTATATTGCAACACACGAGGTCATTCCAAACTGATCGCTTTGTGTCCGTAAGGTCCTGCAAAACTCCACCGCATTTGCGCTATCCAATCCTCTGGTGCTGTTATCCCAGCACTGTAATGGGGCATAGCTTAACGCAGCTTCCGCGATCGTAACCCGCTTTCTCTCGCCTCCGCTGACACCACGAACGAAGTCGTTACCGACCCGGGTATTTATAGTATGACTGATCCCAAACATGGCCATAATGACATCTCGTAGATGAGTGGCGTACTCCTGGGAACTGATTCCGCCCGGAAGGTGACGAGGTGCACGAGCAAGGGACGCAAAATACAGCGTATCGCCGACTGAGAGCTGTGGGTAATGTGCATCAACTTCAGCAGTGTATATAGCCTCGCCCCGGAATTGCGTTGACATTTGCCTGGGAGTTATGCCTTGGTAGTTTATATAGGCTGCTGGGTCTACCTGAAAGCCATGGGTTTCACCAGCTATAGTTTTGAGAAAGGTTGAACAGCCTGATCCAGGAGGGCCCAGAACACAAAGCTGCTCACCAGGAAGAACTAGTCCATCAAGGCCCTGCAGGATATCAATTTTCGTTTTTTTGCCGCTAAGGAACTGATATATCTGTGTCGGCAACTTCAGCAGGGCATTTCCCACACTCATTTGATAGTCCACAGGACTACCGTACCCGGAAACGTTCAAATTTTTGAACGCAACACCGGCAACTCGTGGCGGACAGTTTTCGTCGGCATTATACCTAGCGTTGTAGAAAGCTTTCGCCCAGTCTCTAGCACGGAATTCAGGGCTGTTCGGATCCAGAAATCCACCTTCACTCGCTTCGAACGGGGAACGATAATGATTTTTTTCAGACTTTGTGCTCAATTTGCGCGCTAGTTTCGTCAGTTGCTCGTCGATCTCCGCTCGATTCTCCCCAAGTTTGTCTTTCTGTTCCAGATCCGACTGTTCACTGTTTGCGTAGGTTTGAGTCCCTGAACTAGTGCCTCCGTCCATAGCGAGGGCCATGTCTGATGAAGGTGGAGGCCGGGGCTCATGCCCTCGAGACGAAAACATCCGTAGTTTAAATGTCTATAGAGATCAGTCGAAGGACCAAGCAGGGAAAGGGAAACGACTAACTCGGGAGCAACACGACTGTTGCCTCTGAATGACAGATGTGATTAAGGTTTCCGCCTAGCGTCTGAACTCATGAAGAGCTGCTCGTGTCCAGGTACAGACGAAAGCTAGCAATAACGAGCCGGGGGGGGTTGCTTTATACATAGCTGGGGGCGACCAAGCCACGGGAGATCCATGGTGTTCGGAAATGTCTAACAGTATGTGTGGGCCACTAGGCCACTTAGTCCTCGCGAGCGGAGGCCAAGATATCGGATTCGGACTCTTGGCTCAAGAAGCTCCGTGAGTCATTCCGACTCATCTAGCACGTATTGAATAGATCGGCTGTCTGTGCATGAATCTCGGCATTGTGTCGGTGAGAGCCGGAAGACCGTAGAGGTCGGGCTCCAGTACATTCAACCAAGTACATTGCTCTTGGCCCAAAGTTAAGTAGATAGTGTGGCGTAGGTTCAGGGAGAACCAGTCCAGATTTTGGTGAAGGTGATGGATACGAGTGCAAAGAAAGCCCTAAGGGGAGGAAACCACGGAGCCCGCGGGCTCCGACTCCACAGCAAGACGCGGCTTGTACTAACCAATAGGTCCTTAGGCCACTCAAGGCAAGACACTTTATTAAGGTCATTTAGACTTTGTGGAGTCTTCGGACTTTCGGACTATAAAGATTTGTCCGTGTTTCGGTATCAAAGAAGAGTCTCCAGTCCATCACTACTACTAGTAGTAGGGACTTGGTCTACCTCCCAGCACAAATGTCGACCCCGATTTCGTTACCCGACCAATCCCTTTCGGTGGGTGCTCTTTCAAGCTCAGGGATCCTATTTTTGCAGCTAAATCCAGGTAGTGCGAAAGGTGTAGAAAGAAAAAGGTACCCACTTTTCACAGATGCATACTGGAGAACTTTGTTTGGCTGACCTTGAAATTTCTACTACCGGGCAGATCGGTTGTAACAAACTACTTCCACGATGTAATCAATGTGTCGCATCCAATGTCGAGTGTGTTTACCCGACTCGACGTCGGAGAACCCGAAGACCAAGGTCCTTACGAGTACATGCTGCTTGTGCCACTATTACGAATGCTAACCGGGACAGGGCCGTGTATCGCGCAAGGGAGAATGATGGTGCTTCCACTGGAATATTATCTGACATTCTCAGGCGTCTAACTTCATTGGAGCAATCTCTGACAGTAGCGCCATGTCAGTCTCCTGTAGCCGGTGACCGGAGAAGTTCATCCGCGCCCTCCCATAATGGCATCCTAGAACCTCCTCGGAATAATGGTAAGTACTGTTGGACTCTACTGACCTCCATCAGGTGCTATAATGTATCACAGGCAATAACATATTCGCTCCAGATATCATTCAAGAACACATTCCCTCTTATCATACTACACAGCAGACCACGCCAAATATCCCAGTGCTCAGCCCAGATGCTGGCAGTACCTTGGTTTGGGACGATGCATCCATCACCAAGAACATGGCCTCCGAATGGGTCAATGGTACACTTTTCCAATCACACCAGTACTACAATGTTCGTGAACTAATCTCTTCATAGTGTTCTATACTCTGTCCTGGGGCCCTGAGCTTCCTGTGGGAAAAGATTTCTTCCTTCTTCTTCCTGACCTGTTTGACCTACCACACGTCAAGATCGACACATCCGCACTTCTTGTATACTACAACGTTCTTCTGCAAGGGTTATTCATGGATCGAAGGCTCGGGCGCAGGAGAAAAGACTATGAGTCCTATATGTACAGGAAGATGCTATTACATGCGAAAGACTGGGACTTCGAGGCCCAACCTACCCTCACAGACCTTTACGCCGCACTTCTCTTGGTACGTCACATGGACCACAATATGCGCTCAACAGATCCTAATCTCGTTCAAGATTTTTACAACAAACTTTTTTTTTGAGAGGGAGCTTTCATGGAAATTCCATTGCTCTGCCTACCGCATAGCCTGTAACCTAGGCTTCTTATTGCTAGACGCGGACGTCAGTGGCAACTGCCAGTCCCCCCATGGCCACTCAATTCATAAAGACCAGATGCGGTTCTGTATCTGGAATTTGGTGCACAACGATTGTATTTTCCGCCTTCATTTAGACAAGCCAGGCCTGCTCGATCCTAGCACCATGGTCGTCAAATTCCCAGAGCTATCAACGTGGAACCCTAACGAAGGGCTTAATCGATCAGCCCAAATAAATTTCTTGGTGGCCACGCGCCTTGCCTTTGCGAAACTGCGGTTTTTCGATATGATGGATGATGCACGGCAAAAAGGATCACAGCCATCTGACCAGTTAATAGAGGATTTAATCGGGGAGACTCAGACAGCTCTTGCAGACTGGAAAATAGTAAGTTGGTGCAACAAGCTAGAAAAATCGATATCGCTCTCACATCCGTCTAATTTAGGATGAAAACCTCGGAGCAGCAGAGTATAGCAACAGCGTCTGGTTCTACGATGAACTCATTCAGAACGCCTGTACCACCGTCATTCTACTCAATCGTACAAGATCAGTATCAAACAGACAGGCGTCCAAAACCCAGTCGCTTGAGGCGGCAAGGAGGGCAATTGAAAGCATGAAGCAAGCAATGACTATTGATTCGTCTGGCTCTTACTGGCCACTATGGTACGTTGTCATATTACAAAGAATTGAACGGAATTCTTTTGAGCTGACGGTCCTTCTATTTCTTACTAGTTACTTCTCTTTCTACTCGGTCATCACTATCCTTACCATATTCGCTAATATTTTGGAGACAAATACGCCTGCCGCCATCGCTCACGACATGTCCCTCGCGGTGTGGTTCGGGGCCATGCTGATCCAGTGGACAGCCGAGCGCGAGGAACTCAGACCTGTTGAGGCAGCCGTCAACACACTGAACGACATATGTCGGCAAGTTAAACTGTGCACGTCCAGCATACAGGTTCAGCCAAACAGCCAGCTTGTCACGGGAGCGACACCCGCTGACGGGATAATGCTCAGCCCCAGCTCGGTCCAAACGCTCGACTGTATCGGTATTAAAGTGCAAGATCTTGTTCAGAATCCATATGAGACAATTTTACTTGTCGAACGGTGGATCTACTCTCAGCGTCTTAGCAGTCCTGAGATATGACTATACGAACTGCACATTAACACATGTTACCTTCAGAATTGTGGAGCGTTTCTGTTTTGCCAAGACTCTTAGTTACGCACCATTTTTTTTTTTTTTTTTTTTTTTTTTTTTTTTTTTTTTTTTTTTTTTTTTTTTTTTTTTTTTTTTTTTTTTTTTTTTTTTTTTTTTTTTTTTTT